GTTTACAGAAAAAGATGAACGTTGAGTAGTGGCGCACGATATAAAAGATGATAGTAAAGAAGGTGTAGTTAGGACTGAACTTGTAGTTCAATGTGGGATGCCTGGTACACAAACAAAGCAAACAAAAAAAGGGGACCATTACAATTCAGAGGGCGCGATGACAAGGAAAAGGACACCAACTACAGAAATGTACACTATGTGTGAAAGATTTCTTTGCCTAAAGGGAATACGGAGAAATTCAAAGTAATAAATGAAGTAAGAGAAGACAAAAGCAGAATAGAAAACAAGAGGAAGAGCAAGCAGGGGCCTTGCACAGGTGGGAAAGAGGCATATACAGCGGGCAGGAGTTTTTTTGGGAAAGACAGATTTGCCAACCATTAAAGTGAAGAGAGAAGAAACACAGGAGTGGACAGAATGCTTGGGCAGGCAGAGAATTTTGGAAGAGGCAGGGACCTTTCTGGGAACAAAAGTGCTCGGGACAAGCAGCTCTGGCAGCAGTTTAGGCAGGCCACACGTGGGCAGTGGGGACTGGGACGTGGGGTTACAGTGTGGGCAGTGGAGGAGCAGGGCAGCATGAAGGGGAAGCGGAGAACCAGGAATAATTGCCCTTCGGCTGCATGTAGGGGTTGACAAGGAACACTACTGGGCAGAGGAGAGAGTGTCCCAGGAGCAGGGGGTGGGCTGAAGCCTTCGTGGGAGCGTTAGCAGGTCTCAGAGCAGGAGACACGCCGAGAGAGTGAGGATCTTGGTGCAGGTGATGGAAGGAGAAAATGAGGTATGTGAGAACAGGAGGGAAGCGATTGGGGGAAGTGGGGGTGCAAGGTAGTGGTGAAGGCACAGACGCTAAGAGCAGGCAGAGAACTTAGGGCAGCGTGGTAACCAGGGCTGTGAGAGGAGGAGACTGGCAGGGGGTGGGGGAAGCAGGGTCTTGCCTTGCCCCTGGGTTCCCCAACACGTAGAGCTCCACCCCAATGTCCCTACTCACCCAAGAGGGCCCTGTCTCCCTTCCCCATCCTACATCCCCGCACAGCCCACCTGACCCAGGTCCCCGACCTCCCTCTCTCCTCTTCTCATTTCCCCCCTCTGCTGCAGGATCCCCGCTTCCAAGAGGGAGGGAGAGAGGGAGAGGAGTGGTTGGAGGAGGTTTGTTCCCGGGTCACGGCTGGGTAGTTTTATCTAGGTAAGGGGAATTGCCACTGTTGGTTTTTTTGTTTGGTTGGTTTATATGGCACTGTTCAGAGCCCTAAAAGTATTATTAAGGTATGTCCTATTCTTTCTCAGCCTGTTATGCTGCCATCACCCTCTTTCACAGCCAGGGTACATAATGAGTTTTCGTCCTTTTTGGATTTGAAGGCTGTTTTCCCAGTAAATCAGGAGTGTGTGCAGAGGGAATCCACCCACACTGCGATTTTCAGGCACCAGCAGTAAAGGTGGTGGGCAAGCCCCTATGAGGCAGAAGAGGTGAATTTGCAGGTACAGTCAATGGCATACAGGATCGCAGTATCTTTTTTCTGCTGTCTCCAGCTGAGCTCAGGTCCACAGCTGAAGCAACCCTAGATGTGGGATGTGGATTGAAAGGTCTCTGCCTGTCTCTGCCACTCCTCCTAGCTAGGCTGTGTCAGCCCCAAGGGCTCTTCTGCAACAACTTGTGTCTTTCAGACATGTAGGCCCTTTTTTCGTCTTCCAGGCTCATACCTCCTGGGCATCATTTGTTGCTCAGTCTGTGTCTTGAGGGAAAAGTGTCCTTTTCTAGCCCTAGCTCCAGGAGCACGCTCGCAGTGGAGGACCTATGACACCATTCAGGTACTACCCCAGCCCTAGCACTACAAGATGGTGACATGCAGCAGTCATTCACACAAGTGTTAGTCTACCCTATGTCCATAGTATATGCACATGATCTGCTAGCTTTCTGAAGTTGTCTTAGCTAGCTGCTTGATCCCCTTCTGCAAGACAGGTATATAGAGGAAGCTGTAAGGACATCAATACCCTTATTGTCATGTCATCAGGAAGGTGAGACTGCAATAACCTCAGGAAGGTCAGGGACAGTTCGCTACGTGGTAACATCTATTAATGTCTTCTGTTTACATTAAACTTCTACAGCAGCGTTAGCTTTGCATGTCCTGTAAGCACACAGAGTCCATCACTGCCTCATACTGCTATTTCTTTTTATGAAAGGCAACTGAATCATTAAAAGAAGATTACAAATGTTTGTTTCCAAAAAAGGAAGCACAGGCTATGAAAAACCAGCCCCACAAACACGTCCAGATCTAACCCTTCTTTTGTATGGCTTGGCAGACTTGCTTTTAAAGCAGTAGGCATTGAAAGAAAATCCTGGAGCCCTTGACCTAATGGAACTGGGATCTGAAAGTGAGAGATCTGCAGGATCATGCCCTTTTTGAGTTTCTAAAATACTCCTGCTTGGGATAAGAAATGGAAACAAACAAGAGGCCACACAATATGTAGTGAATTTGGAGGGAATATTATTTCGGTCTCATGGCCTCCCTTCATAAGGCACTATTATACAGTCCTTTTCTGTCTGGAAGAACTGGTAAAGTAGTTCTCCCTTAGCCTCCCCTTGCATGTTCCTACTCTTCAGCTGTGACAGAAAGATGATTCACAGGGCCATGCAGTGAACCAGATCAGGGTTAAAAATGCCTTTTTTGCTTGGATTTTGGTTGCAAACTGTTGTCTTAACTCAATTGAGAAGGTAGCCCAGAGATGAGACTCAGAGGTGACAGGAAGACTTAAGCCACTATGGTGAGCAAAAGCAAAGTATGTAACCATGACCTAAGTAATGTTTCTCTCTTTTTCAGGTGTTAAAATCTGTGCAGACTTCATCAACTGTCAAGTCACTGCCTTCTGTCCAGGTTCCACATACTTTATTTCGCTTGATCCCAAACTACTGTGTATCAAGCCAGGTTTCACATGGAAACTTTTGGGCATAGGTCAAAGGAAATAGGGTGCGTCCAACACAGCAGGGAAGAGGAGAGCCAGAGCAATGAAGTTTTTCTTATGGAAGCAGAAAACTCAGATTATTGGTTGCAGAGCCAGGGCATTCTAGTAGGAACCCTTCTTTGAGACATCTGTGGAAAGAAAGAGCAAGACAAGGCAAAGTGCCTGATGAATTTTTAGGAAACTATCTAAGGACTAAGAGATCTTAGGGGATGAGTTGCAACATCTTTCTGTCATTGACAAAGGCATTTCCAGTTGCATTCAGGTTTGGGATGCTGTGAGGTCTGCACATGTGAGGAGTGTGTGGAAATGGAATAAAAATATATCCTTTTAACCTTCCATGGTATGCTCAAGCCTTGGTCTGCACTGAGATTATACCTGGACTAGAAACTGTGCCTGTAACTAGTACAGTAAATCCCAATTCAACCTGCAGTCCAAGAAGGCTCTACAGCACATGGTGGAATTAAATACAGAGCAGAGGTGGGCTGCTTTGCTTGCTTACCACCAGTCATCTGCTCTGTTTCAGCTGTTCCCACTTTGGAAGCCTGTTAACACTAACCTGAACTAAAAGGGAAGACGTTCTCTTGCTGTACGGTCATCTGTAGAAACAAAAGAGAAAGGGTGGTGAGCTGCAGAACTGCATGGTAGGGTAATGCCAAGCTTCTTTCTCTTTAACATGACCATCCCATTACCTTAATTTTGTACTCTTCGGACTGTGAATGCAGAGACAGAAAAATGTCTACAGTGGGTCAGACCAACAGTCTGTCTCCCCAACATGTCTCCCGTACAGCTGTAAAAGACCCTCTTATGCATTGTGATACCTTCTAATGCAAGGACATTTTTGTAAATAGAGAATCTTTCAGTAGTGTGTCCTGATAGCCTTGCTTTTTTACTGATAATTAGTATTTTCATGTCAGATAGTAATTTTTAAATTGTATGCACTAAGCACAAAAATTCTTATACAAGATGGAATAGCAAAGAGAGAGCATGTTAGGTGACAATATTTAGCTCTGTAAAGGCTGGATTAAGAAGTCTCCTCCTCTTCTTGACATTGTGTGGAAGGGGGAACAAGAATGGAATTCAGTATATAACATATAGGCCTGTGGTGCTGCTTTCTAAATCTCCAGTGGTAGTTTCTGCATTTTGTTCTCAAATTCTTTTTTAAAAATAATTCTTAATGTTCCATCTGCTGGTGTGGCTCATACTGAGCACGGAATAATCAGAGAGACTCAAAATGACTCCAAGATCTCTCTTCTGTGTGCTGATAGTTCATTTAGAGCTTTAAAGGGTAAGAAATTATTTTCCTATTATCCTCCGAGACACAGCAGCACCCAATAGATTGTAAGATTATCACACTATACATGAAAAGCATAGAACTAAATTCTGCCTTCTGGTGGATCAGGGTGGCAGTATGTAACACTGATTTTAAATAAATGCCTAAGTATTTTCAAGAGAGCTAAGGAGCTGGAGAAGATCTGGTAAATTGACAGAGAAGCCTTCTTTCCACAGAGCCGTAGCTTGAAGCTAGAGGAAGTCAAAAAACACAGTCATTTTGAACACGTACACACCACAACATATTCATTTTGGGGATGCCAGGCTCCAGGAGAAGTCATACTTTTTGGGTGGTGGAGGGACAACTGTGTCTTCAGATAATCCCATATTAAAGCACATAGTCAGGCCTGTCTGGAGAGTATTGTGCATCGTAAGGCATGAAAAGAGGGACAATCCTGCCAAGGTATTCTAGACAAGCACTAAAATATAAAAATATTTCTCCATGTGCTCTTGAAGTGCCTTGGCACAATTAGCAATGGTGCCTTTTGGCTAGAGTAAAAATGAAGAAAGCCTAGCAGAGATTGAAACCTCACATAGAGGAAATGCCTGCTGTTTTAGGCCATGCTTTTCACTCTGCTCTGGGAAGCGGCCTTGGCTGTGCTGGGCCACAGGGACATTGCTTTGTACTACTGTGCACAGTGGAAGAGCCTGAGGAAGCAACTCTGTGCCCCACATTGTGTTCCTCCCGTTCCCACTCCCATGTCTGGCAGCCATACCTTCAAGTCTTTGTTGAAGAGCTTCCCCACATTCTGGAAGCAGCCACTGGGTAGCTGGTGCTTCTGCAGCCAGAGCAGAACATTGTGCACATGATCCTTATTGATGTAAATGTGAGAGCTGGCTTGTCCAAAGGACCTGGCTACAAAAGCTGTCAGCCTGTGGGGAGAGCACAAAGGAATCCCATGTCACAGCCAGGAACTGAACCAGCAAGGACAATGTTTGGGATGACGGTACCAACTCTGGTCACTCACCATGTGTTGCTCTGGTTGTCAGCTTTCCCAAAGGTGCTGAAGGAGCCATCATCATGTTTGTAGAGCAGCTGACACTGGTAACCTATGAAGACAGGTGCCAGGACACAACTCTCAGTGTGAGGGCCTGTAGCATCTCAAACTGTATCCTTGCTGTGGGAAGAAGGCTTTGCAGCAAGAGACTTCACCAGGTCCTACAGCCAGAGACGTTGAGGCAAGCCTACCACCCCACAATTCCCCATGCATCCCACAGCATCAGCGTGACAAGAAGCAGTTGCACAGCATCACTGAAGTGCACCATGCAGCTGCTCTACGTTGCTAGAGCTGCTATGTGCAAGTACTGTGGGTATCTGCCCTGCTGGTTTGCAGAACGGTGCCATGCTCACCCACCTCATGTCTCCCTGTGCCCCAGGGAACTCTCACAGGCACCTTGCTGTCAATAAAAAGAGCTGTAGGAGTGAGGAGAAAGGCTTTTCCTGGAGCGGACCAGTATGAAACCCTGTTTGCTTTTCAGCACTTCTGCTAGCCCTGTTGGGACTCCAGAAAGCACTCTTTATGGGATGTACAGAAAGCAACAAGGCCATGCCTTTAAGCTGTGCGGGCAGAACGCTATCCGCATCTGTTTGCTCTTCCTCCACCCTCCACACAGCCTCGCTGTTTACCCTCTACCTCGCCCCTCTGCTGCCACCATTCTCTTGGGTATGCCCCCCTCTCCCAGATATCTGTCCTAACTAGTGGTACAGGCGAGAAAGGAGGAAGGAGAGGGAGTAAAATCTTATCCATGGGAGGCTGCTGAGCTTGCAGTGTAGCAGGATAAGGAGACCGACAGGGTGGAATGTGAGGCACAATGCAAAATGAGACACAGACACCAGCACTGTATTAAATTCAGATTATATTGGACAGAGCTGACATGCCCCCACAATACGTGTCCTAAAACACAGGGAAACACTAAGCTACCAAACTCTTATCTAGCCCCAAAGGCCACTCTTTATTCCAATTAATAGCAGCTGATGCTCTGTTTCCTCAAGGGACTTCAGTCTGCCTTGGTCTGATAAGGGAAAAATCCACAGGCATCACATAATGATGGAGATAATTAATTACCCACACCCTCCTCAGAAAAGTGGGCTTAGTACCTCAATAACAGGCAGAGGCAGAAGTCCTGCTTCTTCAGAAACATGCTTTTCCTTCCATGAGACATTTCCCTTATTCTCTGTGATATCTTCCTTTGTCACAGCTCTGGCAGTGCTCCCACTCCTGCCCTGCACCTCCCCACCGGACCAGTGCCCCACACTCTTGAATTATAGCATCTTCATTTTGCAGCAGAAGGAAGAAGGACAATGTTTACCTGTTCTCAGGAATTTCAGTGCTCTATCTTCAATTTCTGGGTCCAGTTGTTTAGTCTTATTCAAATACTGGAGTATGAAGATGTTTGGTGCAAACTGAACCATGTTCTGTTCACCGCAGGCAAATTCCACCCCTCCTCCCGCTAGCTGCCACACATCCCTCTGCTCAACCTCACCCAGCCTGGTGGCTGTCACTTTCCACTCAAAGGTTTTTGCTTCATTGGCAGCTGGTGAACCAGCGGTCTGGACAGGCATCCACCTTTAGTTCTGGGGTCTCTGTGAGAGTGGTGCGTACCTGAGTGTGGTGGGGTGTACAAGCATACATTGGCATAGTGTTAGTACTGCAGAAAGGAGGAAACGTCATGAGTCATGAAGTGTGAGGCTGTGCTTTGTGGCCCTGACACCAGTAACTAGGGCTCCTGAGAAGCTCATAGCTTGCCTTTGGGCTCAAGTTTTTGCTCCAACAGAGGTGTGTAGTTGGGGGAATACTCACCTGGATACAGTCCTTGAGGTAGTTCAAGACAGTGGCTTTTAGGCTGAAAGTCTCTCCTTGGATCACAGAGTAGGGCAATGACAGATCTACAAAGAAAGGCTGGAAGACCCTAAGGGTGGTCAGAGGAGAGAACCCAAAGCCAGTATCAGCAACACAGAAGGTGTTGGCATTCCATTCTGTGACGGTGTCAGGTACAGCAACTTGGGCAGACGCTTGCCCATCATCCCTACGGCAGGAAGAGAGAGAGGAGAACTTGCTCAGAAGTGGTCAGAAGTCTCCAGAGGTCTCTCTGGGGAAGGCAGGTAGAGGCTGTTACCAACCCAATGGAGACCAAATCCCAAATCCAGGTCTCTGGGAAAAGTGTCCATGGTTTTGTCTTCCTTGTGTTATCAGAGCAAGGTGCAGAATCACTACAGCCAGCATGATTTTCTGCAGAAAAGCAAGTGATACCTCAGAAAACAGCATATGTAGCTCCAGGTGAGATTAGTTCTTCATTCACAGGCAATCTAACACAAACTGTAAATGCTTTGTGACACAGAACAAGAGTGGACAGGGTTGGCTTTTCAGTGAGAATCTGACACAGTGTCTGTATCTTTGAGGAACACAGCTTTAGGGAGTCAGAGTTGGATGGAGTTTAGCCTGAGGCTCGGTCGGACAGATCTGGATCCAGTTTGGTCTGGATCCAGGGGGAGACAGCGTGCTCAAATGGAGTTGCCCTTTTAAATAATCTGTGAAAGTGCTGGTGGAGAGCATACTACATTTTCTGTGAGGAGCGCAGAACACAGGGACAGCTGATAAAGCACAGAGATTTGAGCTTTTATCTGTGATTTATAAATCAGGTCCATTGAACTAGACACAAGCTTCGTTCCTCTCATACACAAACAAGAAACACAGTAGGATGGAAGTCAGCCGTCTCAGCTGCAGGCTGGCCAGAACTGGGAGAAGAGAGCCCCTTCAGTCAAGGAGATGGACATGTCCATTCCTTACCAACAGCATTGTCTTTTCCAGGATACATCTTTTTCTCAAAGCCTGGTCGCATACAGGAAACTGGTTTCTTGGTTCTAGTATTGGTTAATATTTTCATGCACAATTTCTGGGAAAACAGTGGAGAGAATAAATCAATGATAAATAAAAGGGAAGAAGGAATGTTGAAAATATCTCATGATAGCAAGTATCATAAAGGGGTAGCTGCAACATTTTAAAATGCTGCTTGTTTATATACATATGCAAAGACTTACAGGCTCAGACTCTGGCCAATGCATGAGGAACGGAAACCCGCTTCTGAGGAATACTGGGGCCAATTATTACTTGTCATAAAAGTAAATTTCAACTTCATATGCCTAACCCTAACAATGAGCCAGAGTCAAACACCATATATCCCATGAAAAACTTAAGATAAAAAAATTCCAAATTTTAAATTTCTGCACAATTTTAGAATGGAAAGATCTGACTGGCTGTTCACACAAAACCATTCTTACACAAGTTAGTACCAGTCCTGGCTTAGAAAAGTGATGGGGAACTTGGTGAGAACTTAGTATGGATTCTGCTTTTGTCTGAACGAGACTCAAACTCTCAGGGCCTGTGCTTCACAAGGTGGAAATATTGGATTGAATGCACCCTCATGTGCATGGACTGAGAAGAAGACATTATCACACCAAAAGAATACATTTAATCCTGTGAGCAATCCTTGCTTTGGTTTAGTGGTCTGCAAGTCACTGAGAACTCTTCTACTTTCTTGAAGTGCCAAAACCCTTCATGGAAAGTATGGGGACAGTGTGTTCCCGAGTCAGTCATGGAGAGTGGGGGGAGAAAACAGAGTTCCTGGTTCACTCGTTGGGAAAAGCTTGCCAGTGTTGGGCAGGACAGGACTAGGAATTCAGGGAAGAAGGAGGTTACCTGTTTCGTTTCCCAGCCAAAAACACTGGGCATCTGGTTTGGTGTGTATCCAGCTTATACCACTTGGCTGAGGATAAAACAGGACCAGGAACCACAGCAGACCAGAGCACATCAACGATACTATCGCACTCCTTGTGTTTCTACTCACCTTGTGTCTAAAGCACTTCTCTGCTTGAAACTCTTCCACATCAGCCACCACCTCTCCATCCAAGAAGACTGCATACAGTAAAAGCTTGTTGTCAGGCAGGAAGTCATTGCCAATAGTCAGAGTCAATGAGAAGGAGGCCTGCAGATCTGCACAAGATAGCAGCAAGGAAGAGAGGGAAAGCATTCAATTAAATCAGCTCCTTGGGTAGGACACACAATAAGAATCAAAAGAGGGAATTTAATAATTTCTACCTGCAGACAAGAACATCCCACATAGACACTGTCACAGATTAACAATAAACCCAGGATACTGGCCACTTCTTTGGCTCAAGCTTGGCAAAAATATTCTTCTTCCCTACTGCACCTTAGATAAACAAGCAAGCTACACAAATTTTCTATCTTCTCCAAAGGTACAAGCTAGCAGCAAAGTCATAAGGTTGGATATTAGATCAATTAGACAAAGCAGGAGAAGGACAGTCACCTAGAAGGAGACTGAACTGATATGAGAGGAGATTGTGTTGGTCTAATGAGGTGGACCACCAGTTTGTGTTTCTGGTCGGATGCCCTGAAGCACAACAGGCACCAAAACAGCTTTTGGTGAAGCTTCTCTGCAGATAATTTAGGGCTCTGTGGATAATAGCTGTGGGCCTAGGAACAAGAACTAGAGCCTGTCTTGAGGTTCCCTAAGGACAGAAATCTACCTCCTAGATTACAGAACCTCTGATCACGAAATCCTGCCCAGCCAAAATTAGGGAACCTCACCCTAGATAGAGTGGGGTCTTAGGGAAAAAACATCTGGAACAACAGTTCCAGTCTCTGAGAAATGGATGGCCATAGGCATGAATGTACTGCTTGGGCATGAATCCTCAGGTAGTGGGAAGATGGGTGTACTCCAGGCTGGTAACGAGCTCCAGGTGTAGGATAAGAAGTTGTGAGGAGAAGAAGCCAAGTGCTTCAAAGTCTGGTATTGAAAGGGAGGTCAAGAGCAGCTACCTGCCAAGCTGAGCCTGGACAAGATATGCACTTCTGCAGGGCAAGGGCAGCCACTAGAAATGGAGTTCAACAGGGACAGGTGTCAACTGCCAGTTCTGCTAAGCCACCTCCAACATGTCCCAGAGTGGAGATAGGGGACATTTCCTCCGAGGAAGTATTCAGATTAACAGATGTTTTTATTGGAGAAATAGAAAGGGTAGGGGGGATACAAAAGATTAGGGTCATGCTCCAGCTCAGGACAGCAGAGCACCTTTGGTGACCATTTGGCTGAACTGTTGCAGTATAGCCTCCAGTTTCCCTGAGGAGATGGCACTGGAGAGTAATTAAAGATGCTTCTACAGATATAGTGAAATGAGATCAGGAGCCAGAGGACTGTGCTCCAAAACCTCAGATTTCTGCCACTTTCTATCCCTTTCCTCAGCCTACCTTCACTTTATCCTCCTTTTTCTGTGGCTGATGCTCACTTTCAGAGAAACCAGCGTGCTGTTCCAGCTGGTGGTATCCAGTGAGAAGTGGACTTTCCCATTCTCATCCGTGAGGAATGACAGGTGCGTCTCCTCATCATTGATGTCAACTATTAGGTAGACCATTTCATTTCTGAGGTGAGACTCGTCACTGTGGCGGAACATCTGCAGAGGAGGGGAGAAAGTTAATACCCCGTTGTGCCACACTCCGAGATGCTGCCAGTGCTTAATATTAATTGTTTCTATCATTGGGCTTCCTCAGCCCTTCTAGCTTTCAGATGAGTTGGAAGGATCCAAATGAAAGTGCAATAAATACACAAAACCAACAATGTGCAGCTGTTCAGGACTAGAAATAAACAGTAGTGCAGCCGAATGAGACACCTATATTGGGTGAAAAAAAGGTGATTTCCTCAGATCCTGAGCTTTCTCTTGGACAATGCTTCAGGATCCTTGACAATCAGAAGCAGTCTTGTCTCCAGCAACTTAGCTCTTGCTGTCTTCGCCCTCTTTCATGCTGGGGTTAGTACTGGCCCAGGTGAAAGTGTTTCTAGCCCCAATGGGACAGCAGTCCTAGCAGCACCCAGGGGACTTGAGTCAGAAATGACTGCCAGTGAATTGTTATACAAGGCTTTAGTGCTTTCTCCCAAGTTGACAAGAGCATTTGGATCTTAAGATCAGTTTACATCCCTTTCCACCCACTACACCCAGGATCCTTAGTGTCCTTCAGCCTCACAGTAAATGACCAGGTGTGAGAAGGAGCCCATTGCAGAGAGTGATCTGGCTCCCCCAACCATAGGGTAAAGCAAGAACATCATACTGGAAAGTCACTTCTCGGCTATGGGCAATCCGGAGGTGATTGTGGAGCCAAAGGCCAGAGGTCACAATGGTGTCATGTACTCACCACAGACCTTCAGCTGAAATTCCTCATCTGCTGTAGTGATAAATGGAGGGTGCTTAATCTTTATTTCAACATTTTTCAGCACTGCATGAAAGTGAGGAAGATATGAATGGAGGAAAAAAAGCAATACTGAGTATGGGCACTGACTGTAAGTTCTGTTATAACTGCAGTCCACACAGGGGGAAAGACAGTAATATCCCCAGTTATTCATCACTATGCTGCAATAGGTGTTACTCCCTTCAGCCACACCACCCTCTATTTGCTGCTACAGTTGCACATGGGACTGCCTTCTACTCCAGCTAAGTCAAGCATAAGCATTTTAAACGGCACAGGGTTTTGTCCTTGCCTACATCACTGCAACTGAATGGGACTAAGGCATGATGCCGCTTCGCATTATGGCAGCTGACTCAAGTGGACAGTAAACTTAGCTTAGAAGAGGGTGACAATGAGCAGCAGAAAGTGCTCATCACAGGGCCCAGCTGCAGCTAGAACAAGATGTCAGACCACAGCCTCTCCCTTGTACCCTATGCAGCTGCAGAACCTCCTGCTCAGCATGAGATGTGCGCACAGACCAATCTCACTCTGTCCCCAGTCTGCTGTTCTACCAGAGCAAAAAGGTCTGATGAACATGGCCACATCATCCTGCTCTCTTCTCCAGCTACCCACACGACTTCTCCCTCACCTCTGTTGTTCAAGTCTCACCATATTCATCAACACTGAAGGTTTTTGGAGCCATGTCTTGTTGCACTGAGATGGTATACTTCCCAAGGGGTGCTTCAGAGGCCAGGGGGAAGGACAGATCCACAATGCCGTGTCTTGACTTTACACTCAGCCACTCAGCAATGTGGCTATATTCAGGATCCTATTTGGGAAAGGACATGCAGAACCACTAAGTCACACTGGGAGCATGGGTACCTGGCAGGTCCAGCCATACCCAAGCATGAGAATGCACTGTGAGGGCTTACCCTTGCCCCAGTAGACAGGATGCCAGATCACCAGGCAAGATTCCCTCTCTTCCCTCCAGTATCCTTTTACTGAACTTTTGAATTGCAAAGACTGCCAGGAACAGTAAAGCTACTGGGAAGTGGTAACACCATAACACTCTGGGAAGGAGAAGCAACTCTGCTGTATCTACTGAGCACTTAGCCTTGTGCTTTGTGCTCTGTGCAGACAAGGTGTTGGGCAAAGGTTCATTACTGCCCTGCCTCTAGCTCAGCTATGTGCCTCACAGAGGTGCTGATTTGAATGAAGAACCCAGGCTGACCAGGTAGAAAAGACTTCAGCTGAACCTGAACCATAACCATAACGTTATGAGGCTACATTTGTGGCACAACTCTGTCCAGGAGTAAAAGGGCAGGGTAGAAGAGAGAGACATCTCCCTTTGGTGAGTTCTTTGTCACTTACCTGCAGCCATATCTGGGAATACTGTAAAAACAAGAGTAATACAAGCTCAGTTTTGTACAGAGCAAAACAGCACCCATGTCAACCAGTATTAATAACACTGCCTGACATGGGCCCCTGACCAGAGAGTTCAGCCCCATGCAGACCCCACACTAGGTGTCCTCCTCCCTCTGTGCTAGCTTACACTGCAGTCTTTCTCCAAGGGACCACTGGATGAGTGGTTTCCCTTCAAAGATCATTTGTTCTTACGGTTTAACAGGGAGATGTCTCTTTCATGAATCTCTCAATGTGTCTTATGCTAAGGCTCCTACTTCTAGAAAAGCACAAGGTGATACTCACCTCATTTTTAATGACTTTAAGGTCCTTGTCAAGGTTCACAATTCAAAATTTCACTGGAGATATAAAGAAAAGGATAATAAAGCATTCTGGCTGCAACATGTCCTTGCACAAATCCGCTTCTCCCTTTCTGTGCTCCAGCACTCATATGTCTCTGTTTACCTCACAGGTATTCAGGTCTTTCCCCAGACAGCCCTCCCCAGCATCTCCTACCCCAGAGGACTTTGTCTGGGATGTTTATATGCGGCTACGGGCTGTAGAAACTCGCTGCCTTTACCTGGAAAGATTACGAGGATGTGTTAAACAGTGGGGTTGGTCTGTCTGCAGTCTGTTCATATTGTGAAATAACTCTCTGTATTTCTACAGCTTGGAACTGTCACTCTAGGCTTTACTCAAATATAATCAACAGTCTTCAAAAAACAAGAAGAGATTGTCCAGTGTCCTGGAGAGTCCTGGCTTTCCTTTTAGCTCTCACTAGAGGTACTTCACCAAAACAACACCCAGGAGCAGCAGACTGGGCCTTTGGTGCAGCACAGCTCGGAGGGGAACTTCCTGACTCATACTGTTCCTGGAAACATCTGGTAACAGAGATCTGCTTTCTTCCATCTCCAACAAGCTTGGCTTGCTGCACTTGGTGAACTCTTCCCCGCAGATGTGGCTGCTACCTTGACCCTTCCCTCCCCATTTCCATATGCCACCTTCTTGCCTTGCCTGTTTCTCCAGGTTTGTATAAGCCCTTGTCTGTCTCTACCAGAATTACATTCTTCTGGGGCTTGACCAGAACCTTCTCGCAACCCTCAAAGAGCACATTGTCCCCACTGTGGGTCAGGACATGCAAAAAAACCATCTCCTCTGGCTGTCAGGTTAAAAAAACCAAATTGCCTGAGACTACAAGTAGCTTGAAGGAGAAACAGAGGCACGTGTCCTACCAAAATCTCCAACTTCCCTCTCCTCCCTTCCCCTCCTTTGATTTAGCTCTCTCCTTTCCCTAGTCATAGTGTTCTCTGTGCTCTCCCCAGCTTCCTCATTCTCTTTTCTCTGCCTTTCTCCTTCTCATGTTTGCCTCTTTCCACATTTCTTTCTCCCCTCTACTATCCTTTCCATCCTGCATCTCCAGCATTAACATGGCTCAGACACAGGAGAGGCTGAAGCCCTCTAGTTTGTAAGAGGAGAGGCATCCAGGAGAGGTGTCTTACATGTGATGTGGAATCATCTCTTTTCCTGGCAATGAACTCTGGCACCTAGGTTGATTGATACAAGGAAACAGCAAACAAATTTGTCAGAGACTTTGCATCTTATCCCAGATGTGAGACATCATCTCTGTTAAAAAATCCCCGAACTTCAGAGTGCAAATTCCACTGTACAACTCTGTCTCTAACCCACTTGTCATTATAGGGAGAAGAAGCAGTCTCTGCCTCACTCTTGTTCATGAACCTAAGAGTGAACCAACTGACGTGTCATTCTCCCTCTTCACATAAACGTGAGATTTTTATAAAACAAAGAAAAACGATAAGGAAGTCAGATCTGGAGCTGACCAGGACGATAACGGGAGATGAGATACTGATCAGGCAAAACCAGGACATCTCAGTATCAGAAAGACTGGGCTTACCAGGAGAAAGGTTGTTTTTGCTAACAGCAGACTTCCTTGGCTTTCCAGAGCCAGGACTCGCTCTCTTCTAAGGGGTGGCACCAAACACTTAGTTAATCATTGTCTTGTTGATGCAAGAACCAGAAGTGACCACAGCCCCTCCTTGAGTTCTGCTGAATCTGCAGGACAATCAGGACATAGGCACAGCGACTTAGTATGGTGCTGAGGAAGACAGGGGCAGTTTGTAGAGCCTCAGCACCAGACACATCTCCATGGCTCTCCAGAAATGTAACTGAAGGTCCTGTAGTCGTGCCCAGCCTCAGTGTGTCTAGTTAGGCTAACAAAAGCAGCAAAGTTGCAATGACAGGAACTCAAGCCACCCAAGAAATATCCAGAGTGCCTAGGTGAAATTCAGTTCTTTGTGGGTTCAGCGCCATCACTACTCATCACAGCTAAATTAAAGCAAGCTCAATCTCTATGCAGGCTGCAACTACACCTTGCGGTATAGATGCAGCTTTAGAGCAGAACGGTCCTCTTGGAGCTGGAGGGACAGGCTTCTGAGGAAGCGAGGGTGGAAAGAATGTATTCCCTATGCATTGACTTGCACTGTGATATACAAGCATTTTTAGGGACTAAAAACTGAGTAAACTGAAAGTCAGTGTTTTCCAACAGGCTTTAAATAGGATGAAGTGGGCTGACACAGATCAAAAGAACGGGTTTTTACCTACACAGGAAAGATTCCCTACTTTGCTAGGCTCCAGGACACTGCTGTATTTTGCCTGGCACTGGTAGGGAAATACACTTAACCTGCTCGCAACCTATGGCAAGGCAAAGAACAGTGTGCCCAGAGAAGTGCTGGGCTCCTGTCTGAAGTGAAAGTGAGAGCATCCAGCTGCCAAATCAGCAGCCACAGCTACGCTCACCTGGAAGGTGACACATAGAAAAGTGCCTGGCTTCTCCACATCCTGTTCCACCAGTGTGTGATTCTGGGTTGTCACCTCCAAGGTGACAGCAGGTGAATGGCAACAGGGAACACCACCATATAGTGACTAGAAGAGAACAGGAGATGTTCAGAAACAATTCAGAGACTGAGGTGGACAGGCCAGAATCCATCTCTGCTGCTTTCATGAAGAGGTAGACCAGGGGTCAGAAACGTCTAGAGGCCTGCAGTGAAGGAACTATAATGCAGCTCCCTTTCCATACCAGAAAGAAGCAACATGCCCAGTGTGGAACCAGACGACTCCTGGTCTCTGTCTGTCACCATCTTGCCACCAGCCAGGACACAGCTGCCCAGTGTACGATACTCCAATTGCAAGTACACAGAGCAAGGCTTCGCGAGGAATGAAGCCGAAGACTCAGTGGCTGAGGCATAAGGCTTCAGTCCTCACACCAAATTTCACCCCCACCAGCACAGGATGAACAGAGGCAAAACTTCTGGCTTCTGTAGCTTTGCGGTGTGTGCAGTGCAGTGCCTGCACGAGCAAACACCAGGGGCTTCACCTGCAGTGGTGCTCGACACTCAGAGCTCCAACGGGACTCAGTGGGAGCTGCTTCTGCGCAGCTTCCCTGAGGATAAGGCCCCCACCGTTCAACTCTGTGATGCTAAACAGGGCAGCACCTCAGCACCACCCTTCAATGACAGTCCCTTCCACCAAGCACCCCGGAATCAAAAGGAGACATTCTCATAGTTCCAGGTTTGCTGCAGCTGCAACTGGGAATAGGGTCAGGGCTAAGAGGAGCACAGGTGTTCCCATTGCTTGGGCTGGGACAGACAGCTGACAAGATCCACACAGGAGGAGAGAACTGCCTGGACTGGTGGGCTGAAGCAATCCTAAATACCCCCCCGCTAAGTCCAGAGAGTGGGGGAGTTGATATATGGAGATAGTATCTCTTCCAGGCTAATGACATTAGCTAATATTTACTTGCTTCCACTAACAGCAGAGTAAAGGCCACACAGCACAGTCCTCCACCCACATCTACATTCAGATGGTATTGCAGGCCATGGGGTGCCAGAGCACTGGGGGGGAGATGTGGGGTGGGTGACCTCTAATCCAGGCTGAAGGGGACTTAAGAGAAATACTCATCTCAGCTGTGGCTGGTCTGGATCCTGGCTGTAGCATACAATGAGAGCCAAAGCTACACACCAGCTACTGTCCTCAGCTTGTAAAAAGCATCCTCAGTACTCTCTCTGTGCATCATTAGTGATCTTCCTCTCATCCAGTATTTAATCAGAGCTTGGAGTAAAAACCTTTCAATTCACTTCCATTCCCTGCATCACTACCTCTGTCCACCCATCCATCCCAGCCATGTCTGATCCTCCTGGGTACAGAACCTTCTCCAGGGCTGCTCCTGCCACCCACTGCCAACTTCCCCCATAGCTCCACTGTAAGGCCTTCCCAAATAAAACAAGACATTTTAAGTACCCACATATTTTAGCAAGTCTCTACTTTACATCCCCCCAGGCCAGATGTCCAGTTTTCTGCCAGCTTCCTCCAGCCATGAGGTAGTTCTACACTGACACCACCACCCATCTCCTCCAGACTCTTCTCAGGCACTGTAACTTTGTATTTCCTTTTCCTGGGTGGCAACAGTGAAGTGAGCAGGGTTTGAACATATTTGCCCTCTAGTTACAACCTCATTTGAAGGTGGATGTCCTCATCCTGCCCTGGCCCCAGCTGTGTTTTTGCAGAGCATAACCAAGGGTACACAATATAGAGTGAATTTGCCACCCACCCACTCTTTGCTCCCAGCTGAGGCAATCCCCTGGATTTACTTTGGCACAGTCCCCGTATGTGTGATTAGCATCCACTCTCCTAGTGCACAGTCCAATGTAACAGGAACACACTAGCCTTTAACCTAGCACTGACATTCAGATAATCTGCAGGTTTAAAGCACTGTATGTCACTGATCTGGGAGCATATTTGATTCTCCGAAATCAACCGGGTTTTGAGTTCAAGCCTGAACTAGTGGGACAAAAACAATCAGAGTTCTGTCTGATTTCAGAAACACTCCCCGTGGCTCTGCATCTCTGAATGGTCATCAAGTTGGCTGCCTCTGAAGTTAAATGGGAACAAATAGACAACAAAAAGATAATAACATGCTAAAGTTCTTCCCTCCTTCCAGGGAGGAGTGGGGGCAGAGCTGTGTATGGAGCCCTAGTCTGGTCTGACCGGAGGCTGCAAGGCAGCAGTGAAATTTCAGTAAGAAGTAAATAATACATAAAAAAAGAAGTTCTACAGAAAAAGAACACTGAAACAAAATCCACTGACATCACAAAGAATGAATTTGCCCCAGGATGTTTCTGATGAGATCCCAGTAAAGACACCTTTATAAAAATTGGACCCCTGTACCAAATATAGTAACTGAGCACTCCTGCTGCCATCAGCTGTACTGCATAAGAAGGCAGAGCAAGACGTCTCCCAGAGAAGTATCCACAAGCCTTACAAAGCCTCGAGGCAAGTGCCTTTGGTGTGTAGGCAATAAACACTGTCTCCACCCCTTCCACCCGCCCACATCCCAGCCCCAGCCACGCGCAGCATGATTTCCATTTTCTTGGTTTTGAAGCCAAAAAAGAGACGGACACCCTGTCAGGGCAGGAGCTGCATCGTCCTTCAGCTCTGGATGAGGGAGAGAGGGAAGAAGGAAAGCGGCAGAAGCAGAGGCGAAGGAGGGACAGAGGAAAGGCTCACATTTCCGCCGAGGGATTCGACCTGCAATCAGCTATGTGGAGCATCGCTTTCCTGTGGGGCAGCATCCTTCTGCCTATCACGGCCGGAGCGCCTGCAATGCTGTAAGAACCTCAGCTGCTTCGCCTACGCGCACTGGTCTGTGGGAACCCTGGGGGGGTGGCGGTGTAACAGAAACAGGACAGAAGTCGTAAGACCAAGAGTGTTTTTCCAGGGAGGCATAATTTCTCATATTCCCAAGGTTTCACTTGGTTCTCATGCACCGTCCCCCCGACACTCTCCCTACTACTTGGCTCTCCCTTTAGCGCCTTTGATGTAGAACATGTATTTCTGCAGGGACTCGGGCAGAGCAACTCTGCCAGCTTTCTGCATGTGTTCAATTCTGACCTGCCAACATCTCACGTCTCCTACTGTACGCCAGAGTATATTTCCTTTTGGGCTATGATTTTCTCCCTAGAGTCATAGGTCACCATTTAAATCTTTAGCTGACAAAGCTGGGTACCTTTACAAACTGGGCAAACGTGAGCCCAAGGTGTCTAATAAGGATGCTCTTTGTAAAACTATGTGTTCATTCTGGCTTAGCTGGCCATCTGCTCCCTCAGACTTTCTAAGAAACCTATGGCAAGGACAACTCCCAGCACTGCTTCTCTTCATATACTTTATCAGGAATGCAACCCCTGTTCCAGCAGGCACTGCTGTGATATACTGGTTTGTGAACTTGCTCTTGCCTTTTGAAGGCCTTTGCTTTTGCAGCCATGGCATAAGTGCAAACAGAAATAGGACTGTGCTCAAACAGTAGATGTTACAGTGGGAAATATGTCAGTGGGTTGTAGCTGGTTTCCCTCCTGCCGTGTGTGGTGTGGCATGCACAAGTCTAGGTTTAAAAATCTTTTCCAGAGGCAGTACAGCCTCTTCCTCTAGGACATGTTCCATAGGCTGACACAGCTCCCACTCAAATGATGCTTTACTTCTACCTGTTTCCCACTGTTACCTTCAGCATGAAGCTTTGCTTTATGGAAATACTGCTTGCTTCAACAGGCTGTCTGCTGTCCTGCCTATACACCAATGTGTTTTGTAGATTCATGAGAAAGTAATCCATCCTGGCTCTTGGGATCCTCGAACGACAGCCTCAGAGATGCTGCCTTGTACTTTTATAGCTCAGAAGGCAAGGGCAAGGGATGAATTGGCAAAGGCGTGTAAGAAAATGTTCCAGAGGAAAGGGTCATTAGGAGCAAGGGAGGTATGGGAGGTTCAGGCAGTGAGTCTTTAGTGCTCATCCCATCCTTAAGTAGGAAAATCAAAATGCCATTGGCATCTTTTATCAGATCCCCTACTATTAGCAGCAGATAAGCTGCTCAAGACAGCTTGACGGCACTCGTGTGAAAGCACTCAAGGCTTCTGGCCAGCAGGACTTTGACTCCCTCTTGCCAGGCTGCTGAACTCCAGCTAAGAACTGCCAGCAGGTCATGTCCTTGCCTCCTGCTGTCCTGATCTTTCCAGGCCCTGCCCTCCTGCTGCTGCAAAACATGCCGCTGGCTGAACCTGTCCAGAGGCAGTAAGCAGGAGGAGTCAGTGATAAGAGTTTTCAAACCTGCTTGAATGTTGGCTTTTCTTTGGTCCTAGTTGCTGCAGTGCAGTATAAGATGAAAAAAAACCAGCTTCTTGGTGTTATCCATGGGCACAGCTGTGAAAGTAGCCATGGAGATGTGAGATCTGGCAAGGAGGACAGGAGTGTCAGGAGCTGAAGAGAAGGTGCTCATGAGACTGTGTCTGGGACACGAAGTCGGGACACTGGGTCTCCTATTCTTGGCATTGGTTCTGAGCCCAAGAGTAGCTGATAGGACAGAAAGCAGATAACCAACCAAGCAAACTGATGGTGATACGTGGTGTGGTTCAGTGAAAAGGCTGAAGTCTCAGGAAACCTGCAACGTAGCCAAGCTCTGCTGATGATCCCTTGGGTGATGTGGGGAGGTTCCTTATTTTGACTTTCAGTTTTGGAAGCAGTGACTTTATCTTTTTACATGTGCATGCAGCATGTAGTGTAGTGCAGACTCAGTGTTAATGACTGCAGTACCAATAGATGAGAAGAGCAGTGTGATCTTGTCCCACTGGCATCGTGACAGTGGAATGAAGAGACCAGAAGTCTTATTAGGAAGTACCCAAATCCTATGATCAAAATCTGTCCTCTTAGAAAATCAGTTTCACCTGACTTTTTTTTTTTTCTTTTTTAATAGGAATTATGCTGTGGCAATACCATCTCAGCTCTACTACCCCTTCTCAGAGACAGTGTGCCTCCAACTCAGCAGAAAGCAAGCAGTCCCGATCCATGTGACAGTAACCTTGCAAAGCAGAGCTGGAAATGAAACTCTGATCACTCAGTCCATCTCTCAGCTTACCTTCTTTCATTGCACAAGCTTCCAGGTGAGGAATATATTTTCCAGGGTTGTCAGTGGGTGGATAGCACATGAGTTTTGCTCTTGCTGAGCAGGAAGGCAAAGAATTGTGTCTTCCCATGGAGACATCTTAATGGAGCACTGAATCTTCTGCTTCAGCCTATATAGGTCTGCCAGTGTCCTTCCTGCTGTGTAGGCCCACTGATATTTTACTCTTCTAGAAAATATTCTGAAAGGTACTGTGAGGTCTTCCAGGGCAAGAAGAACTGGAGCAATATAAAAGCAGTATCATAATCGTTATTCCAAGAGCCTGGGGACCCGTGAATGGGATCCACCCTGAGTGATGGTTACAACTATGCCTGCAGGTCCCTCCTCCAGTTGGAAATGACGATGAAGTGGCTTTTATTGGGATCACAGTCCTGGACGCCAACTCAGAGTATCAGAAGAAACAGAAAGTCCTGATCAAGCACGCAGACAAGAAGACTTTTATCCAGACAGACAAACCTGTGTACAAACCTGGACAGATTGGTATGGACAGAATGCCATGTCTTGTGAGAGAAAGAGCGGTCCTCAGGCCACAAAATATGGGGTAGCCTCTAGAGCTTGGAGTGGGGCCTGCTCTGCAAAGGAGATGGGTTACAGGCTTCATCTCCCTTCTAGGCTGTTCCTGCTTTG